AGTGGGCTTGGTGAGGGCTTCGGCGACTGGGGCAGGTTAGCCACGATAAGATAGACAGGGTGCACACGACGGCATACTGGGCTGCTGTTCGTTCATGGCGGCGTTGGGGTTCGCCTTTGAGTTTGGGTCGTAGTGGTCAGAGTATTTGCGCTGGTGCTTGGTCGGGCTTTTGGGCGACGCGGGAGTCTCGCGGCTCTTGTTGCTCTTGTTGCTGTGGAAGCTGAGACCGCGCGGGCGCGATGGCTGCTGTGCCGCTTGCTCCATTCTTGCAACGATGGGCGATACCCAGTTTTTTCTGCGGAGCGTCTAACGAGTCGTGCGAGCCGGGTAATTCGGTGGAGCTGGAGCTGTAATGTGGCGCGTGGTGAGCAAGTGGAGCGTGCGGCGTATCGTAGTAACTGAGACGAGAGATGTCGCAGAAGCAAATTGATGAAGGATCAAGAATGCGTGACGGTAGAGCTATGGAAACTGGGTGTTAACACACGAAAGGCGGACCAAGTCTAGGCTGCGTAGTAAGGCAACGTACCTAGGTAGTGACGCGCGGTCCATTCACTCTTCGACGCCGAGACGCGACTCGTCATCAAGCCACGACCAGACTAAACGGTTGGGGAATATCACCATCACCCACTCTGAAACAAAAGTACCGAGCAAGGGTGTCTATCTACTCTTATCGCTCTGCCGTCCACTTCTCCCAGCCTTACTCTACAATGATACTCCCACTCCACCGCGACCGTCCGTTCATCTGTGAGACAACGGAGGGTCAAGTCTCACTGCACAGCCTACTAGTTCAACCCAAACGCCCCTCGTATCTCCCGTTAGCTGGCAAATTTAGACAGCGTCAATAGTTTACTTCCGGAAGCGGACGCTATCTTCTCACCCGCACCTCCACGCCAGCCACCGCGAAACTCAATTCACCATCTCAATTACATCCAAGAGAACCACCACCTGTTGATTGCGCAGCACAGCACAATCTGGCTATCACGGCACCTGCACTGCTGTCGCAGCACCTTTGATCTTCGTCGTGCATCCCGCAAATGCTATCTATGGTACACCATGCAGACTAGTGGCTGAGGCGTCCCTTCAATCCAGCAACCAGCAGAAATCTAGCCGCGTAGCCGGACTCTTGCAGAATCTCTGACAAACATGGACAGCTTGCATTTTGCCGCTGTTCACGTGTGTCAAATCCCATCTTTAACAAAAGCCATGGAAGATCGCGACATGGGTTATGCGCGGGCGGTGGATACCATTATCGTCACCTAAAATACGTCAAGCACTTTGATAGGCACGGCGAGGCACGGCGCGGCTTTGCCGACGTTTCCAACGCGCCAAGATTCCCACTGTTAACTCGGGTGGGCTTGCATCACTTTGCTCCCCGTGAACATGACCCTTGCGCGCTAGCCATCATTTATTCGTTCATGAGTGCTATATGCTCATCATATCCATTACATATGCTTAATCCTTTTTCACGTCCCCCCACTAGCTGTGTGTAGGCATATTGACCGACGCCTTCGTCGCGACCGCATCTTCACTCCTCCAAAGACTTGTTACTGTCTTCTGTTGTGTGTAGAATTGGAGACCTGGCTTTCCGTAGAAAGTGTTTGCACCGCCGCCTGCGACCGACTTCTTGTTACCAGTGAAGGAGAACATGGGGAGCTGGTGATGTTAGCCTTCATTCATTGCGTTTGGTTCCGAAGGAAACTTACAGGTACGGGGATGGGCACATTGATACCAACCTGACCGGCTTCAATCTCACGCTGGAATTTGCCGGCAGTGGCACCTGAGCGAGTGAAGATGGCGGTACCGTTACCGTACTCGTTTGCGTTGATCATGTCGATAGCCTCGTCGATGGTCTCGACGTTTAGGCAGACAAGGACAGGGCCGAAGATTTCCTCGGTGTAGCACTTCATGTGTGGCTTGACGTTGGCGATGATGGTAGGACCGACCTGATCAGCCCAGTCAGTATGCGATCATTCTCACATATCAGCAAGACTTACCCAGTTGCCGTTGGCGTACTTGTCGGAAGGAGGCTTCTGGCCACGTCCATCGAGTAGGATAGTCGCACCCTCTTCCTCGGCGCTCGCAATAAGGTCTTCAATCCTCTTCTTGGACTGAGGGCTGATGACGGGACCAAGATCGGCGCCCTCCTCGAAGCCGCCGTTCATCGACAGTTCCTTTGCGCGCTCAGCAATCTCAGGAACCCATTCCTTGGTCTCGCCGATCATGACCAGAGTGCTCAAAGCCATGCATCGCTGGCCAGCAGCACCAAAGGCAGCACCGGCAATCGCGTTCAGAGCATGGTTCTTGTTGCAGTCGGGAAGGACAGCAGCGTGGTTCTTTGCGCCCAAGTTAGCCTGAACACGCTTGCCCTGGGCCGATGCGCGCGAGTAGATGTATTCTCCAGCCTTGTTGCTACCGACGAAGCTTATCGCCTTGATGCGGGGCTCGTCGATGATGAAGTCAACTGTCTTGGCTGAACCGTGTACAATGTTAATCACACCAGCGGGGAATCCAGCCTTCTCCGCAAGCTCGGCAAGGATCATGCAAGCGCCGGGGTCGCGTTCCGAGGGCTTGATAACGACAGTGTTACCGGTAACAGCAGCGATGGGAATGGTCCAGAGGGGAATCATAGCGGGGAAGTCTGGGGTAGCACATTAGCACAAACCTCATTTACCGCCAGTCGTGCACTTACTGAAAGGGCAAATGGCAGCTACAACACCCAATGGTTCTCTGTAGCTGCGTGTCTCCATGTCCTTGGCGACCTCGAGGACTTCGCCAGTCATTTGTGTTGTGATACCGCATGCGGTTTCCGCAACCTGCAAGCCACGGAGCACATCACCACGCGCGTCTCCAAATGTCTTGCCCTGTTCCAGTGTGATGCTAGCAGCCAAACGGTCCCAGTTCTCGCGAATCAAGTGTGTGTATTTGAAAAGAATCTGCTGCCTGTGAAGCAAGCTGGTCTCTTTCCATGGCTTGAAGGCCTTCTCAGCGCTGTCCACCGCGGCCTTGAGCTCCTCGTCTGTGCTCTGCGGCACGCGTGTAACCAGGTTGTTGGTCGCGGGGTCATGTAGATCTATCCATTGTGTTGCTTTCGATGCCACGAACTTGTTGTCGAGGAAGTTTGGTGTGTCCGCGGGCGATTGGATTGGCTCGTGGTCCATGGGGTACGACTGGGCCGCTGACGATGCGGGCTTCAGGTGCTGCGCCGTGGCATGCAGCCGCCGTGCGGCGACTTTACTTTGGCTGACTGGCGACGACATTCTCGTACAGAGAGGGGCCGCGCGCGCGACAGGCGAGCGAGCACTCAATGTTGGGAGGCGTGAAAGCGCGCGACGAGAGAACATGATCGGGAGCAAGGTAAGCTCAACGCAACCTTGGAAGATGCAATTGAAGTGGAACAAGTCTTCTGCAGGATCAAGCAATGGAGATTGAACCCAATCAAAGAAGAAACCACGTAGTAACCAACCGGCACTTGCGGCTATAGGGAAAGTGAATCCGGGTTGCCTTTCATAGCAGCAGCGTGTACAGCCGAACTCTCCCCGCAATGCCAGGTGCGCATCCGTCGATAACCAGCTCCCGAGGTCGGTAAGTCGCTCCTCCGCGGCGTGTGCAGCGTTTATGTCATCAACCGCCCCACTTTCACATACACTGATACACACATCTTGACATTTCATATGGCTGTCGAGTTGGAGAGTGTATCTTTAAATCCATGTCGTTACTTACAAAATGTGGCCAAGAGCCTTACGAAGCCGTACCTTCCTCATAGAAGTGCATACACCTTTGTCCATTGCCCAAACGTTATCCAGCACCTTCAAGTCATGTCTCCCATAACTACCTAGGTAGGGTCGCAGAACATTCCGATGTTGGTATCTAGAAGTCCGCGATACATAGACTAGATTGGGTCATTCCTGCAGCTGTTGCCGCTACACAGCAAGGATTCCTTGGTGAAAGCAGTAGACAATTGAGCGCCATGCTCCGCGGCGTCTTGCTCCGCGTGCAGGCTCGAAGTCATATCTGATCTGGTATCTCTACGGATGTTACTGTCGTGGATGTCGTTGCTGCAGACTGCCTTTTGACCATGGAGCGAGTCTTAGGTTCGTTCCAAAAGCAGACACGGTCCAACACAGAGGTGTAATTGCGAGCGACAACGGTGCCTAGACTGTGACCGTTCTTGCCAATGATTTCATGTTTGTTCCGTTTGGTGCCATATGTCTTGACATGGCCTACCTGGGCACCCTTGCGAACTCAGCGACGATCGTGCCGGCCTTCTTCATGCCCACCCAGGTGGCTTCACTATTGTCTCTGTGGTGATCCAAGCAACGTTTCTCCCCACCTGAATCAGAGCTTCCGGAAATGCCTGACGAGTCTGATGAGCTGGAAGAATCTGCCGGACCGAAAGGCGGATTCTCGAGGCGTTGTAGCTCGGCGCGCCGGACAATGAACTTGTCGTGGTTCACACTGTTGTGGAGGTTGCGAACATCGTGATCGTCTGAGACCTCGCGCATGGTACCAGTATGTGAATACGATATAGAACTCTCTCCCTTTGCGGAGTGCTGCACGAAGACCTCTTCTTCGTGAACACTGTCCGAGTCACAAACGTTTTCTGACTTCACAGTGCCTTGTCGCTGGCGCCTCTCTTGTTGCCGACGCCTCTGGGCTGGCTTGGGAGTACCTAGGTATGTAGTTGACGCTCATCGATATGGGCAGTCTACAAGATATCGATACTAGTACAGCTCGTAAGGATGCATCGCGCAAATGATTGCTCACGTCGGGTGCAACCGTCTCTCTTCGTGATGGCGCTTCAACTCCATGGTTGGTCCGACGGATACGGGAACACATCCGGGTTGTCAATTTCGCATTACATTTTGCGGGGCACATGTGCATAGCGGAGACGCTAGAATAAACTGGGACTCGGTCGAACGCAAAGTAAGTGTCGATTGGATGGATATCTACTCTAACGGTTATTCCTCCACCTGCACCACGCCATTACCAGAACGTCGACAATGTCTGCGACTATGCCGCCCCTCAACCCGCTTGATGAGCTGTATGCCGATAGGTTCCACGCCGTGACTGACCTGTCCCGCGAAGAGAAGTACGAGGAGGCATACGCTGCTTGTCGGAGGTAGAAGACGCGGAAGATGACGAGATTGACGAGATTGACGAGATTGACGAGATTGACGAGATTGACGAGACTGAAGATTACTATGTACTGGATGAACCGCAGGCAATCTTGTCTAGCGACGAAGAGGACCCCGATAGCTACTCAGAGATGTCCGATGGCAGTAATGGCGAGGATCTTGCCGATACAGGCGACGAGGAATTGGACGTCAGGGACAAAGGCAAATTAAGCGTGCGAGAAGAAGAGACACGAGAAGAAGCCGAGTAACAGCACACATCCAAACAAGTCATAGGCTTATCGATGAAATCTGAACATATGTTTCTACACTCCCTATCTCCCAGCCTGTGACCCGGGGCGCTGCACATCCCATTTTCAGGAACAAAGCCTCAATACATAATCATAGCGCCGAGAACCTCGAAATGATGTGTAACTGCAAATCAGGAATCCAATCGGGGAGGGGCGAAGAAATGCCCTCTGAACCACACTTTTCGGTAGTCTGTTCCTCGTACTCTGTATCTCCCAACAGGGTACTACTCCTTTCACTCAACAGTCAATACTTTCTATGAAGCGTTTGAGCGAGTGGTACGCTTGTTGATCTCAGCCTGAGCCTTCTCAGATCCAGTAGCGACGGCCTCGGCGGCCTTGTCCTTGGCGTCAACAGCGGACTTCTTGGCCTTGTTTGCCTGGGCCTTGACCTGCTCCTTGGAAGGAGCGGCACCGGAGCCGAGAAGAACGGACGCAAGGATAGCGAAGATGGTGACAGCGATAACACCAATACCACCAGCGACCTCAGGGACGAACTTGGCAGCCTCAACGGGGTCGCGCTTGGCGATCTCGAGGAAGAGGGCCACCTTCTCCTTGACGTAAAGGACTGGGTCATCCTTGAAGACGAGGTCAGAGGGCGACTTGGGTGTGTCCTTGGGCTTGGGCTTGTTGGCCTCCTCGTCAGCCTTCTCAGCGGGGTGCTTGAGATCGAAGGTCTCAGCCTTGAGCTTCTCAGCGTCGTCGATGGAGTGGCCAATGTAGATGTTGTCGAAGAGAATGTCCTTCTGCATGGTCCAGATTTCGAAACCAATCTACGGCATATTAGCAAAGAGTCCGTGAAATCAAGATAGGGTCAACTTACAGCACCGATGGGCTCAAAGTTGGCAGGGGTCTTGTCCTCGAAGTAGTCAGGGTTGGCGATCTTCTTGGGGGCCCAGACGCCCTTGTAAGCCGGGTTGTCGATGAAGGGAGCGGTCCACTTGCCCTTGTAGGCAGGGTTCTTCTTCATAGGAGGCTCCCACTTGCCGCAGCCAGAGACCTCGTCACACTTAGGGTTGGGAACGGTGGGAGGAACCCAGTCACCATCCTCCTCGTCATCCCAGTCTTCGGGCTTCTCAGCCTCGGGGTCGGGGATGGTGGTGGGCTCATCCTCAAGCCAGTCTTCAGGCTTGGTAGCCTCCTCGTCGACAATCTCGAACGGCGCATCCTCATCCCAGTCCTCGGGCTTGGTAGCCTCAGGGTCAGCGATGCGGGCCTCGTCAACCCAGTCTTCAGGCTTTGTGTCGTTGGGGTCGTCAATCTCCTCAGCGGGGTTGACGGAGGGAGTGAAGTCCTCCAGGAGGGTTCCGTTGCGAACGGACTCGCCGTCGATCTTCATCTCGAAGCTCTGGTCGGGCTTGACAATGAGAGTGTAGAGACTGGTGGTCTTGACGATACGAGCCATGGGAGGGTTCTTGAGGTGCTTCTCCTCGTACTCGCCGGTCTTGGGGTTCTTGTGGCGGAAGATGAAGTGAACCTAGAAATGTCAGCGTAATTGGCTATATTGAGAGAAGCACCGTACCTTGTTGGTAGCACCGCACTTGTCGGGTCCGAACATGATGATGTAGGGAGAAGCGTTGGAGAACTCCTCAGCGTGGAGGGCTGCGTTGTCCTGAAGGAGCTTCATGTACGCACCACCGCACTCGAGGCCATCTGTCCGTTGTTAGAATAACGTGATATCCCAAATTTGGCTGGAAAACCTACCCTGAAGCTTGACTTCATACTGAACAACAAGGGTGTCATCCTTGTTGTCAATGGCCTTGGGGAACTTGGCAGAGATGGCATGGTGAGCCGCCTTGTCCTTGATGACCAGTCCCTTGTCACCCTCCATACCCTTCAGTACGGAAGGCTCCTCAACGGACCAAGTGCCAACGTATGCCCATTCCTCGTCATCAGCCTTGACGTCCTTCTTCGCGTGTGAGGGGTTCCATCGGGACTCCCAGTCGTCGGTGAACTGCTCGAGGAAAGGTGCCTTGAGTTTTGTGGGCTATACGAGTGTTAGAGAGAGCCTCGGCTATGTGTATGATTCAGAGACGTACAGTAAAGGTCGGCTTTGCGACCGTGGTCGAGGAAGAAGACGCTGACTCGGAGGAGCTGGCGTCGTCTGCGCGCACAACGGCGGCAGCGAGCGCAACGGTGGCGCCAATTGCAAAACGCATTGTGCTTGCCTTGGTTGAGGGTTGAAGTGGAGGAGAAGAGTTCACGGAATCAACGTTGGGGCAAGGTGACAGTTAAATGCCCAGTACACAGAAAGGCCACCTTAGTGAAATGTGGCAGGAAGCGGGCCCTTGGAGCTCCCCACTAGCGCCGCGACCCATGCACGGTTATGCTCCAGGGTTATGGATGCTTCTCGAATGGCTTTCACGCCAGCTGGCCAGATCTGATACACTTTCACTTAAGACTTCATTGCATGCAATTACTATCAAGTGGTCAAGAAGTGCTATTAATCCAGGGACCTTCCCAGGTGCTCCCTCACAGTCGCTCTTGCCAGGATTCTGTGTCCGCGGCGCTAGTGCAGACCTCTCGAAGAACAAACGTGTTCTCCACACGTCAACCCCGAATCCAAAGGACCCAAGATAAGGAATACAGTTCAGGCTGCTTTTCGCATCGTGAGGAGATACTTCAAACAGGCCACGTTGTGCACAATAAACTCGCATCCATCACGCTCGTGCGCTGTACGACCAACAAAACACACTGCATCACCCAGTAGTACTGTCATTGAACGTATGTGGTATCGATTGTGGGTGAGCTATATCCATAGTCACACCAATGCATGCAGCCAACGGCGCTTCAGTGTAGGTATTCCCAAAACTCCGCCGCCTAGCCAGGTCGTAAGATGTGGTCTGCGTATGTATGCTACCTGTTCCCAAGTCCATCCCGCAAGTAGTACAAAGCCGCGAACGCCATACGCTAAAGTCAAAGTTCTAATTACTCCATGCCGCATTCCATATAACATGGCCTATGTCGCGTGCAGTATTTACGGTGTCAACAACTCTGCCGATGAGAGTGGGTGGTAAAGGCTCTTCTTCGTCGCCTTCAAATGGCATGAACATGCCGGATGGTGTTCTTCGTAGTGCGCCGCTTTCCAGTGAGGCTGACGACCCACTCCGGCGCAATGAGTACGGATCCGAAGCAGTGGGAGTGCCGGCCCTTTTTGAGCCGTAAGCGCTAGAGGGCTTGAGGAACTCCTCACTCTCTTCGTCGTCCTCTTCCAGCAGGAAATTTCGTGATGGATTGGACGGCTTCAGGGTCTCGGAGGACGGCGACGGAGAGAGTCCGCTGCGCGACTTCCACATGGCGAGGGAGTGATGTTGCTGCGTCTCGGGGACGTCGGGAGAGTCTGTCCGGTACTTGAGCGTCGTCGATGGAAGCTTAGCAATGGTCTTGTTGTCCGTGCTGATGCTGACGGACGAGGCAGTCCGTGAAAGAGGCTTCTTCCGACGCGACCGCTTCATCATGACGACGCCCTCGTCCGACGAAGAATCCGCTTCCTGGTACTTGGCCCAGGGGTTGTGGTTGCAGTCATCCTCCTCATCGTCGGCGTCTTTGCACTCGACGGCGATACATTGCTCGACCTTGTCGTCGAAGCGGATGTGCCGCTTCTCCCCGTGATCGGGAGTGTGCAGTCCGGAGGTGGACTTTGAGGAGAAGTAGTCCGTGCCTTCCCAAAGCAGGCCTCGGGACAATGTGGAAGATGTGGGGAAGTCGGGGGTTACACGGCCGATGATTGGTCGGGGCCGTCGCAACTCCAGCGTCACACCGGTTGTTTGCTGGGCCTGCACCGACTCGGCCGCTTGTTGCAGCAGTGACGACGACGACAGCGACTTTTGCAGCATGGCCTCGGACATGCTGCGCTTCTTGAGGATTGGCTTCTTGACGCCATTGACGAACGAGTTCGTCTTGGACAGGCGGCTGGCTGGCTCCGAATTCTGCTGCGAGCAGAAGCGATTTGAGGCAGGCTGCATGGGCCCGTACAGCCAGGTCACGTCAACGTCTTTGAGCCTGGTGATTCGTTAGCAGTGCCCAAGAGTTAAAAATCTGCAAGATGGTGCACGGATGGGGGTGATCGACACCCCTGCCGTGGCTGCAGATCGAAATATTCGGGACTCACCAATTCAATGTCTCGGGCGAGATGGTCTTGAGCTTAAACTGGGCCTTGGCCCACGTTCGCCACGAGGCATTTTCGAGCCTGGAGCGCTCGCCGTAGACGCTGCGGTGCTCGACGATGTGCCGCCACGACGACCAGATATCCTCTTCGCGCCACTCGTACGAGAGGTAGTCGACGTGGTGTGAGGGCTCCTTGCGCACGGCCGTGTCGTCTTCGGACATGGGCATGGGGTCTGGCGTGGTCATGGGAGTATCGGAGGAGAAGCCTTCAGTAGGCGACGGTGAAGGCAGCGAGCCCGGGCGCATGGCTGAGGATGCAGGCTTCAACGAGGCCATGTCGATGGGCGTGACGCCGTGACTGATGCCCTTGCCCTTTGCAACACCCTTTCCCTTTCTGTACTGCCGCGCCGAGCTGTAATTGGGAAACGCCAGGCCATCGTCTTCGCTGCTCGACTCGTCTGACTTGGGATCGAGCGAGACGCTGCTGGAGGGCGTCGAGTGCATGGACGAGGTGCGCGAGGAGCCGCTCAGCGACGGCGAGCGCAGGTCGGGCAGCGAGTACTGGTTCTTGCGGATGGGCGTGTAGGTGTCGTAGGCGAGGGACGCGGACGAGGGCGAGCGCTGGAAGGGCGGGTTGTCTCGCGGGAGCGACAGCATGGCCGTCATACCGGGCGGGTGCGGGTCAATGCCTCAATATCTATCACAGCGTGGGCCCGGCGGCGGCGAGGGAAAATCTCAGATTGTTCGGCGTAGACATGCGGTCGTGACTTGGTATGTATGGGCGTGCGGGGACGGAGGTGCAGTGGAGCGTGGCCAGGAATCGGGCTGACGACGCAACGGCGGATGTAGAGGCAGCT